AGGCAACTACGTGGGAGTCCAGCGACATAGCCATTACGCTAACTGCTGGTTCCCCTGACATCAAGTTCTTAATCCTTCAAAAGATACTTAATTTTATCTTCCATTTGTTTTATTTATTTATTTTAAAGCTTTTATTTTTATTCATCTGTGTTTTAATTGCCAGAATGTGTATGTGTTCTCCAGGCAGGTGGTGGGGAGAGAACATGATCCCGGGGGGGTGGGGGGGTGGCGATCACGTTGCAATCACTCATCCTCCATTTCTGTCTACAGTCAAGACCCTGGGCACACTTGCAAACATGCCCAGCCTGTTTTTCTTCTTTTCTTTCTATTTTTTCAATTTGCTCAATTTTTTCTATATATGTACTCACAAAGAGAAATTAACAAGAGAGAGAAAATGAGACAGCACCCCTGAAGAGAGATGGCCAGGCTGCAGTCCCTTCTCCATTCTTTTCTAAGGGTTTTGAGTACACATGCATAAGCACCTGGCATGTTTTTCAAGTTCCTGATCCAGGATGTAAACCACACAGTTAGCCATGTGGGATCTAGCTGCCTTAACCACCATGCCACCAGCTATCCTATGCCTGGCCTGTTTTTGTTCTTTTTATCTATCTATCTTTCTTTCTTTCTTTCTTTCTTTCTTTCTTTCTTTCTTTCTTTCTTTCTTTCTTTCTTTTTCATTTAGAGATTTTGCCTTAGGGTGTATGCATTCACCAAAGAGAGAGAGAGAGGGAGATCAGCCCCCTATTCCCTGGGGAGTGGGGAATGGCCACGCTGCAATCCCTTCTCCTACATTCTCCTCCCAGTATCTTAAGCACGCATGCATCCCACATGAGTTTCAAGCCACCAGGTCTGAGACTCAAACAGTGGTTGGCCATGTGAGAGTCCAATGACTTAACTGCTTTGCCATCGGTTGGATCTAACCTGGTTTGTTTTTCACACTGCCTGGGCCAGGTCAGCTACATGGGCTCCTGTTCCCAATGTATAGCACTTAACCACTGTGCTATGGAGCCAGCCCTTCAGTTTATTTTAAGGAAAATAAGTGCCCAGGTTGTCTAGAGATCTTGTATACATTATAACTAGTCTTTTTTTTTTTTTTGGAGAGGTTTTTGCTATAGGATGTGTATGCTCGCCAGACAGACAGAGAGAGACAGAAAGCAAGAAATCACCCCCCGGGGGGATGGCCATGTCGCAATCCCTTCTCCTCCATTCTCCTCTTGAGATCTTGGGCACGCACGCACACGCGCCTGGCGTCAGTTTAAGCCACTGGGTCTGCGCCTCGAACCGTGGTCGACTATGTGAGAGTCCAGCGACATAGCCATTACGGCAACTGCTGGTACCTATAACTAGTCTTTACAACAGTTCTATATAAACTTCTAATGGGTCCTTGGAGAAATCGTGACATCGTTCTGTGTAGAAATGCATCTTGACTTCTCAGATAACCCAGTAATTTGAGGCTCAGAGTTTACTCACTTGATCAGATTCACACGGCTAATTAAATGACTTCATTGAGATTTAGGCACAATTTCTAATCTAAAGTCTATGCTTTTGCCACAGACCCATTTTCCTTTTGAAAGTAAGAAAATAATCACTCTAGAAAGACACAAATTCATAATCCTTAATTGCCAAGGTGAATGCCTTACTCATTTTCTTTTATTTTTGCCTGAATTGTTCTTTCTCTTTTTTTAAAGAGGTTTTTCCTTTGGGTGCATGAACTTACTAGAGAGAGACACAGTGAGAAGGAAAGTGAGAAATCAACCTTCCTGTGCAATGGCTATGCCACAATTCCTTCTCCATTTTCCTCCCAGGATTTTGGGCATGCACACACATGTACCTGGCGTGAGTTTCAAGCCACTGGGTCTGAGATTTGAACTGTGGTGAGCCATGTATGAGTCAAGTGATGTAACTACTACGCTATCTGCTGCCCCCCCCCCACTTTCATTTTATGGAAGACAGGGCAACCTTTTAACTCAATTCCGAAATTATAAAGTTAGAATCTGTCTTCGAAATTTTTCTTATTTCTCTGTTTTTTATTTGTTTGTTTGTTTGTTTGTTTTTTGTAAAATTTGGGTCATACTTTGACAACTCTATTTTGAAATGGCTTTCTCTCTCTTTAAAATTTAGTTTTAAATTCTCATGATTTGCCATCTGAATTAGTGTAGTTAATTAGCCTGTTTTCCCTGATCTTTTTTGTCTCTTGAGTTGTTTTCTAAAAAGGATTTTTAACTTTGGATACTAGAGTTTTTGAAAGAATTATAGAAGTTACAGATTATTTCTCTAAAAAATGGCACCTATTGCATATACACTTTTATGCATTATCTTAATGACAGGATACTCACAGGCCTCTTCAAGTCCATCTGTTAACTGCCCCCAATTTTTTGGGAAGGTTTTTGCCCATAGGGCACATATATTTGCTAGATAGAAACAGAGACAGTGAGAGAGAAAGTGAGATATCACCCTCCCAGTAAGGAAGGCCATACTACAGTCCCATCTCCTCCATCCTCCTCCTGGGATTTTAGGCACACACACCCCTACACCTGGTGTGATTTTTCAAGCTGCTGGGTCTGGGGCTCAGACCGCACTTGACCAGGTGGGAGTCCAGTACTGTACCACAATGCCACTTGTTGGCCTCTCCCCCAATTCTAAAATACAGATCCAGTTATGTTTCCACTTTCCCTGTTTACAAAACCTTTATTCTAGTTGCTCCAGCGTGCCTTTGTGGCATGCACAGATCATGCAAGGGAGCCATAGGAAGGATTCAGGGACACCTGGGTGCTGAGAAATGGACACATGAGCTCTCAAGAGAGAGACAGAGAAAGAAGGAATGTACCTAGTGAAAAGCCAGAACCCATGTGCATCTGAGGTGGGCCTAACCCTGCCCTATTAACTAGAAAGCCTCTGATCCAAACCTCTTTTTCCGGCCTAATACACAGCAAAAAGCCAGAAACCATGTGCATCTGAGATGGCCCTAGCCCTGCCCCTTTAGCTGGAAAGCATCTGCCCCAAACCTCTTCCTCCAGCCCAATACCCAGCGAAAAGCCAGAAGGTAGGAAGTAACATATAATCATCAAATGACCAGAAACCACCACGGCAGAGGCACAAGGAATACAGGAAACCAAGAAAATATCTTTCCCTCAAGGGGAAAGAACAACCCTTCATCATCCACAAACAGTACAATGGATCTCGTGAAAATGTCAGATAAAGAATTTAGGATATTCATAGTGACAGGGCTAACAGAGAAGCAAGAGAAGAGAGAAAACAAACTCCAGAAAATGCAGGAGGAAAGAGACAAGTTCCAGGAGGTGTGGAAGTTCTTCCACGATCTGAAAGAGGAAATACACACCATAAAAAAGAATCATATGGTACTGTTAGAGATGAAGGCTGTAATACAAGAAATCCAAACCTCCCTTGAAAGTATTAAAAGCAGATTAGATCATGCAGAAGATCAAATCTCAGATGTAGAAGATAGAACCTCTGACCTAGAAAAATTCACCAAAAAGACAGAAAATAACCCCCCAAAAATGAGAATAATATACAAGTAATACTAGATACCATTAGATGCCCATACATTCGGATAATCAGTATCCCAGAAAGTGAAGAAACTAATCAGGGCATTGATAATCTATTCCATGAAATCCTGGAAGAAAACTTTCCAAACCTAGAGAGGCGTTCAAATATCCAGACTCAAGAAATACAAAGGACCCTACATAGAATCAACCCAAGAAAATCTTCACCAAGGCACATCACAGCAAGATTGATCAAAACCACAGAGATAAGATATTAAAATTGGCAAGAGCGAAACATCAAGTTACTTTCAGAGGATATCCCATCAGATTAACATTGGACCTCGCCTCAGAAACAATGTGAGCAAGGAAATAATGAGAAAATACTCAAAGTGTTAAGTGAAAAACAATTATAACACGCGCCCGGCGTGAGTTTTAAGCCACCGGGTCCGGGATGCGAACCGCGGTTGACTACGTGGGAGTCCAGCGACATAGCCATTACGCTAACTGCTGGTTCCCAATAAATCTTAAAAAAAAAAATGAAAGGACTTCAAAATGTTCCTGAAAAAAAGTAGAATTAAAATATGGTTTAGGACTAGAAGATGGCATAACGGTTACGTTGCTGGACTCCCACATAATCAATCGCGTTTTGAGTCCTGGACCTGGTGGCTTAAAACTCATGCTGTGTGTGTGTACACCCAAAATCCCGAGAGGAGAATGGAGAGAAAGGGATTGTGACATGGCCATACCCCCCCGGAGGGGGGAGTGATTTCTCACTTTCTGTCTCTCCTGTGAGTGCACGCTCTCTATAGCAGGAGAAAAGACAACAACAAAAAACCCTCTTTTAAAAAAGTAGATAAATAAAATAAATTATAGGTTTATTTTGGTGCAAAGTTTTTTTGAAATTCATGCATAATTTTTCATAATAGCATTTTCCATGAACTTATTGAAGAGCCTTGCACTTTTATGTTGGATCATAGTATTTCTGTGTCTTCCCCTCCTACAATATGACATTATGAAAAAGAACAAGACCGTATTTATCATTATGTCCCCAGTGCCTAGGATAGTACCTGGTACAAAGGAGATGCTCGTTAAATGTTTGTTGAATAAGACATAATAAGATCTATTCTCTTCTTTTCCATTGTGTTTCAGCAAAATGAAAATGCACCCTTCTTCCTCCTTCCTCCATAATTCTCTTATTAGACTCTTTTCAGAAGTTTTATTGTCTTTATGGTATTATATGTTTGCGCATGTAACAACTGACTATTTAATACCTAAATAATAATGGTGACCAATATTTTTCAGGCAGTCGTCTTTTAACTGGTTCCAACTGTTTGCAACTGTGGTCTAATACCAGCTTGGAGAAGCCAGCTGAAGATGAAAATCCAGATAAAGCTGATCTTAACTTTGGGGACTGGAGGTGCATTTGGCATTGCAAGTAAGCAATTAGCAGACCTGGTATATGTGGTTATGTTAAATTACAAATATTTTTTAGTCTGTAACACAACACTAACATTTTAAAGTACTGATTTTAGTTTGTGACATACCTTTTCTTGTATATAAGAATTCAATATTTTTAATATTTAGCAGATTTTGTTCTTGTTGTTATAGGGCATTTGTGCTCACTAGAGAGAGAGAAAGAGGGAGGGAAAGTGAGAAATCTCTCCCCAGAGGGATGGCCATGTCACAATCCCTTCTGCATTTTCCTGTTAGGATTTTGGACATATACACATATGCACTGGTGTGCTTTTCGAGCTGCTGGGTCTATGACTTGAACCACACACTTGACCATGTCGGATCTAGCCACCTTAACCCCCATGCCACCTGGCTGACACCTAAAAGATCCTTTTTTAAAAAATTTTTGTATAGGTTTTTGCCTTAGGGTACGTGTGCTTACTAGAGAGACACACACATAGACAGACAGACAGACATAGTGAGAGGGAAAGTGAGAAATCACCCCCCCCAGGGGAAATGACTATCCCCCCAGGGGAAATGGCCATACTGCAGTCCCTTTTTCTCCATTCTCCTCCTGGGCGTTAGGCACTCATGCACATGTGCCTGGCGTGAGTTTCAAGCCACTGGGTCCAGGACTCAGATCATGGTCAGCCATGTGGGAGTCCAGTGACGTAACTGCTACACCATCTGCTATACAACAGATCCATTTTTTTTTTTAAAGGGTTAAATAAAATAACTAGGAAAAAAACATAAGGCCTATATAAGAATTATTAAATGGATTAAACATGCTAAGTTATACACAAAGTTTCACGATTTTGAATGGAAGACTTCTTCTTGTGACGATGTCTTTTTTCCCCAAATTTACCTATTGAACAAAGTCCTTTTCAAAAATTTGTTGGAACTTCTACTTTCAAGCATGATTCCTAACTTCATTTCAAAGAACAAATATGGGAAACTCAGGGAGATTCTAAAAAGAATAAGGATATGCAATATAGTAGTATGAATTCTGAAGCTGTAGCTGATCAAGCATTTCATTACAGGAGTAGTTCAAGGTATAGGATTAGACTCAATTACGCATGAAGAGTCATTACATAAGATAGCATTTTATAGTGAGCAAACTAGCTAGGTCTAAGGAAGTTCGAGCCTGTTTCGTACCTGGTTCAAAAGCAAATGCCAGATAAACGAGAAAATTAGATTTCTATGGAATGAAACAAAAATATTAGAAGAAGAAATAGTTGAATTTTCAAATTTTAGAGCAGCAGTGTCCAGTAGGGTAGCCACTCTCCACGTGTCACACTGAGCTCTTAAAATGCAGCTAATCCAAAATGCGATGTTCTGTGGATACACAGTGGCTTCAAGTACTTAGAACAAAAATATCTCCTTACTATCTAACGTTTATAAAATACACACTAGATTTGAAAAATTAACACAAAGCAATAATACCTCCAACAATTTTTGTTGCTTATGTATTAAATGATATTTTTTATTAGATTAAATAAAATAATTTATCTTGTTTTTACCTTTTTTAAAAAGTGTTTAGTGTGACTTTACAAACTACATATTTGACTAACGTTTGTCTTCCATGTTATATTCCTGTTGGACAAAAGCGATACTTTAGAGTTAGGAAAAAAACTTTCTAAGTATAACTCCAAAACTAGAAACTGAAAGGGGAAAAAAGACAAAGTTAATAGTTTTGATAAAGCATTTATATAAAGCAAAAAGACTACAATAAAGAAAAGCTTTGGGGGATATCTGTAGTTTAGGTAATGCCTTTTTTTTTTTTTTAAAGAAAAGAAAAGGCCTTACAATTAATTAGAAAAGAATAGGTATTACAGTGGTAAACAGGGCATGAAGAGAACATTTTAAAGAAGTGTAGTGCTTTTTTTTTTAATTGCCAGAGGGCCCATGTGCCTGCCAGAGAGAGAGCAAGAGGAAGGGAGAGAGCCAAAGCATCCCCAAGTGGGCCATGGTTATGCCACAATTGCTTTCTTCCGTTTTGCCTTCCCCTCAAGATTTGGGGCACACACATCCACATACTGGTGTGTTTTTAAGCTGCCAAGACTGGGATTTGAACCTTAGTTGACCATGTAGGATCTGGCTTCCCAGTGCATAGAACTCAACCACTGTGCAACAGGAGCAGCCCTATAGTACATATTAATAATAATAGCATATTAAGAGTCCATTGTCCTCACTTGAAATAAAGAAATGTGTAATGTACAGAATGAAGAGGACAAATGATAAATATTATTAGTGGGTGCTTGAAGAAATAGGTACTCTAATATACTCTCAATAAGGTACTGCAATTGATGTTATCGTTCTAGAGAGCAATTCGGAAGTATGAAGTATCAGGCTTAGTATTTTTCATATCCCTTATTTAGCAATTTCAGGTTTTATTCATTGATTTGACAAATATTTGTTGAGTGCTTATCATGTTCCAGGTAGCTATGAAAGTGTCGTAATGTTGCAGTAAACAGATAGGAGGTAATAGTAACAAACTGTAAGCTGGCAAAACAATATTAAATGGGAATTTTTAAATTCAGTTTTACATGAAGCAGTAACAGAGTATGTCAGAAGGTGAAGACCTCCTATATATAGAATTTACAATTTTTTAAGAAAGGAAAAAAGAAAGAAAAAAGTATTTACAGAAGAGATTTCAAAGGAGCTGGCTCCATGTATAGGTAGATCATGGGTAAAACAAGGATTAATGTGGAGAGGGAGCAGTATTTTTATAAATAATTCTTAAGGAAGATGTATGGCTTTGCTCTGGAGTCTTTCCTATGTGGGTGGAAAGGAAATGAAGCAAAGTGGTATTCCTTTTACCACAGTGCTCCTCACGGAGATACTGAGGATGTGTAACGTGTTTGTGCACTTGTTATAGGGAGAGATCGACGGTAAATTAGTTTAGAGTACCTATCAGTAAGTTGGAGTGGACATACTATTTATTTGAGTCTTTTTGTTGTTTTGTTTTCTTTTGTTGTTGTTAATTACTAGAGAGTGCATGCACTTACCAGAGAGAGACAGGGGGAGAGGGAAATAGCATCTCTCGATGGAGTGCAGTCATGCCACAATTCCTTCTCCTCTGTGTCACCATCCTATTAGGATTTGGGGCATTAATGCACATGTGCCTGGCAACTTTCATTATTCAACCAGGATGTAGAAAAACCATGGGATCAAAACTGTCGAAGCTTTGATTTAGGATCAGCTGGAGATTACAGTCTCTGGAATATATTTAAAAGCCGAGTTTTGGCCCATTTTTCTGTTGTGCATTTAAGACATTAATTATATATGGTAGATGAAGAGAAGTACGGTAGAGAAAAAGTAAACAGGATAAGAGAAAGGAAAGTAGAGGTGATATCTGAGTGTTGACCTGGAAGAAATGTGTCAGTTGGCCGTAGGTCCATCTGTGGGAGAAAACAGTACAGGCAGAGGGCACATTGAGTAAAGACCTTGAGGTAAGGACGTCCTTAACTTAAGGTTGGGTGAAGGGAATGAGGTCAGGAGTGATAGGCGGTACTGTTAGCGTCAGGGGTTAGTGTAGGGGTCACCGTGAGACTTCTTTTATTGCAAATGAGTTGGGAAGCTGTTGGGATCTTCCAGTAGGAGTACTGAGATCCAGTTTCCTTTTAGAAGGACTGCTCTATCTGCTGTTTTGAGAAAAGACTCTAAGGGGAATAAGGTCACAATCATGGAGACCAGGTACTTTTGATAATTCATCATAAAGAGTAGCCCTAGGATTACCAGATGCATAGAAAGGTGTGAATAGGAGCGTTCATTCCACCCCTTTTGTTGTTGTTGTTGTAGCAAAAATTAGAAAACATTATTGAACTATTAGATAATTTAAAATCATTTTTTTTGTGTGTGTGGCACATACATGTATAACTGCATAATGGAATCCTCTAAACTAATAAAATAATGTAGTCTTTCCACCTGTACACATGTATACATCTTTTACATCTATATGCAGAGATGTTCATGACATATTTTTAAATCAGTAAATGAGATTACAAATCAAACTGTAAGTATTACCTCGGTTTCTGACCTTTCCTTCCCAGCCCCCTCCACTGAAAGTACATGGAAGACAGTGGGGAGGTGGGTTTGGGAGTCTGTGTTTTAAAATGTGAGCAGTATTTTGTCTGGGAAGGAAAGCGATGAAACTGTAGATTAGTTTGTGTTCTTTCTATCCGTGTGTATCAGTTTGTGTCATATATTTCTTAAGATCAGAAAAAGTTATTTGGATTTGAAATGAAATATAACAGAATTCTTCTTTGGACTCCTTTACAAGTAAGTTTAGTACGGATCTATCGGAGCATGTATTTGGGCAAAGAAAAAGAAAGCGATGATAGTGACAGTGTCTTGAGATCAGCGTATGGTTAGTCGGAAGGGAAGGCAGTGATGGCGAATGAGCCAGCCCTCCTTTGAGAAGAAAAGGCAAGTTTGTGTGTCTAAGTGAAGCTGCCAGGCTGAATCCCTGACTGCTGAAAGTCCTCCTTTAGCCCACAGGTAATCTCTAGTTAGTGAGGCTACCCTAGGACAAAACCCATTTTAAAAGATTGGTATACTGTTCTTGAAAATGTGTGTTGGAATATAGGGATCCAGGACTTGGAAATTACTGGGTCGTCTGAAAAGTCTTGGTGCATTTTTTGCATATAGAAACAGAAAAATCTGTCATCGTTTTCCCAACAGTCCAATAGATTTCTGGACTGAAAAATTAGCACATTCTCTCTCACATTCGAAGGGAACAAGATGTGACTTTTGTTCTAGACTTTAGATTTTGATGGGTTATTCCTTCAGTGATTCTTATGCACAGAATTTTTTTAAAAAAAGTTTATCCATTGGGAACCAGCAGTTAGCGTAATGGCTATGTTGTTGGACTCCCACGTAGTCGACCGCGGTTCGTGTCCCGGACCCAGTGGCTTAAAACTCACGCCGGGCGCGTGTGTGTGTGTGCCCAAGATCCCGAGAGGAGAATGGAGGAGAAGGAATTGCGGCGTGACCATCCCCCCTGGGGGGTGATTTCTCGCTTTCTGTCTCTATGTCTCTCTCTGTCTGTCTGGCGAGCGCACGCGCCCTACAGTGAAAATCTCTCCAAAAAAAAAAAAGTTTATCCATTTATTCCTTTCATGAGACAGACTGAGACAGAGACAGACAGGAAAACAAACAGGAACCCCCAACAGGATTGTCTCACCATGGTCCACTCCCATCTCAGCCAGCCCAGCCTGCAGGCAGCCACACACCTGGCTTGCTCAGGGAGGTTCTGGGATGTGAAAATTTTTCTATTATTGAAAGCAATTGTGGAGGTATAATTCTGAGAATTTGCACATTTTTTCCTATTTAACTTTCCTTGCAAATTATTTCTTATCTGTTTAATTTACAGAACTGCTTCCCAAGTTCATTTAATGAAATTTTCACCAGATGGAGAATTTTTTGCCACTGCTGGGAAGGTAAATTGTGAAAATGCTATTGCCAAATTGTGCGTTTATAGTTTACTATGAATTTTTAAACAAAATATTAACCCACTTTATTCTTTTATTCATCTAACTTGAAAACATTACTTTTTATTAAAAATATTAAATAGGAAAAATTGGCTAAGTAATATGTTAAAAGGCAGTACGATATAATTGAAACAACATAGTTACAGGGATATTCCCAAATTATAAACTTTGCCTTTTACCAGCTTTGTCATCTTACGCAAATTAGTTCATCTCTTTGACCTTTCTTTTCTCATGTATAAAATAAGTCTGATACCACTTACCTCATAGGTTGTTAGTCATAAGATTAATTTAGACAGTGTATATAAAGTGACTGCTATAGGGCTTTTCATATAGTACACAGTCATTAAACTATATTTATATTACCTTTTAACTGACCTGGGTGTTAGGACATATTCAAAGTATAAGATTTAATAAGTTTTTTAGAAAGACATTTTAACCATTTCTTTATATAAACTGTTAGAGCAGCATATTTTCTTGAAATTACCTTTAATCATCGGTTAAAGAGCAGTTCATGGATTACTAGTAGTCCAAAATTATTATTCTCATTACTCAAAAGTCATCTGTGAACTAAGATTGTTGGGTACTCTAAAGATCACGAGGTTTTTTTTTTTTTTCTTTCTCTTTTAAAATATGCCAGAGGACACATGCACTCGTTAGACGGTACAGAGAAATAGAGGGAAAGTGAGAAAGCACCCCTTACGGAGCATGGTCACGCCTCAGTCCCTTCTCTGTTTCTTCCTCCTCTTGGGATTTTGGGCATGCACGTACATGCACCTGGTGTATTGCTCAAGCTGCTGGTTCTAGGACTCAAACCATGGTTGGCTACATGGAGTCCAGCTGCCTTAACCACTCAGCCAGAAACTAGTCCAAGGCTTCTTTTCCTTTTTTTTTTTTTTTTTTAGAGAGAGAGATTTCTGCTATAGGGCACATAAGCTTGCTGGAAAAAACAGAGAGATAGAACGCAAGAAATCAGTAACCAGGAGGATGGCCATGTCAGAGTCTCCTCCTCCACTGTCTCCTCTTAGGATTTTGGGCATGCATGCATATGCACCCAGCTTGAGTTTTAAATTGCCAGGTCTAGGACTTGAACTGTGGTTGACTATGTCGGACTCCAGAGACATAACCATTAAGCTCTCTGCTGGTTCCCAGCTTCCTTTCTTAAGAAAGAAGTGGAGCTGGATATTCTGATTAATTTTACAGATGGAAATTCAATTATATCTTACAAGTAGCACCTGGAGTATTCTGGTCTACATGGCTCTTCCCTTTTTACCAAGTTAAGATGTACAGATTTAATCATAATTAAGATATTCAGATAATAGTAGTTTTGTTGTTTTTTAAGGGAGATTTTTGCTATAGAATATATATCACCAGAGATACAGAAAGTGAGAGATCACCTCCCAGGGCAGATGGCCATGCCACAGTGCCTTCTCCTCCATTCTCCTTTCAGGATTTTGGGCACACACACATGTGCCGGCATATTCAAGCCACTGGGTCCAGGACTCACACCATGCTCGACTACATGGAAGTTCAGCGCCTTCACTACTGTATCCCCTACTGGTCCCAGTAGTAGTTATTTTACCTTTGTAAAGACATGGGATAATTCATAAAAAGTGTCCTTTTTTCCAGTAACTAGTCTTATTAAGTGTGGTAGTGATATTGTTCTTATTTGATATATGGTTTAAGAGAAAAGAAACCCTTAATTTTATGTTTTAGTCTTCCTAATGACCTCCGTTTCCCATAGTATATGCTAAGTAGCCAGTATTTCCCCTGCGCACAGAATACACACATTCACATGCTTCAGTGCTCAAAGCAGGTAAGGAACGTTAGTAGGAAAGTATCAGACTCAGGACAGGCCCTGCAGCACAGCGGTTGAGCACTGTACACAGGGAGCCAGATACACATGGTCGAGTGTGGTTCTAATCCTGGCCCTAGCAGCTTAAAAATATGCCAGATATGTGGTTTTATGTGCCTCAAATCCTGACGTTATGGTAAAATAGAGAAGGATTGTAGTATGGCCACATCTCATTAGGGGATGTTTTCTCTCTCCCTCTCTCTCTAGAGAGTAATCATACTCTGGCAGGGAAAAAATTAAAAAAAAAAAAAGGAAGGAAAGAGAAAGAAAGAAAGGAAAAGAAGGGAAGAAAGGAAAGGAAAAGGAAAAAAGTCAGATTCAGAGAATTTCTTTCACCCTGTCTGTGGCTAGTCCCTTCTTCCATCCCCACA